TAAAGAGGTCTTTGGCACATGAAATGGCACTAGTGTGTGTGTAAACAAGAGTGGGCCAATTTCTAGTGTTCTTACTATTCTCTCAAGTTTTCCAAGGTGTTTTTGGTGATTTGTGATTTCACTTGAGGCTTCCACACTATTGGGGCTAAGCTCTTAAAGATCAAGACTTCAAGCTCCATCAAAAGGTATGTTATCTAATTAGGCTTTTGTAGTATAGTTGCTTCACATTATGCTAGTTAGGATGAAACCTTGGAATAAAGAATATTTGCATGTATAATAGAGAAAACATAGATCCAAGGTTTATAGGGTTGCATGTACACCATAGGAGTGTTAGAATGCTCAAAACCCTTCAAGGCTGTCCAACAAGAGTTATAGGATCGGGATGAAGCTATCAAAAAATTGAAGTATTACCTATCACAGGCCCAATCACAAATGAAAGCTTCTACCGACAAGCATCGTCGTGACGTCGAGTTTCAAATCGGGGAGTGGGTGTTCTTTAAATTGCGCCCTCACAGACAACAATCAGTCCTAAGGAGAATCAATCAAAAGTCATCAACACGTTTTTATGGCCCTTTCCTCATCAGTGCACGAATAGGACGTGTGGCCTACAGGCTCCAATTACTAGAATCAGCTAGCATTCATCCAGTGTTTCACGTCTCTTTACTCAAAAAAGCAGTAGGAACAACCACCGTGGAGCCTAAATCGCCACTGGAGCTAATGGGGGATACTAATGTTGAGAAACATCCTATGCGTTGTCTAGCTAAACACATGATCATAAAAAAGGGGAATCAAATTGAATAGTTGCGGATACAATGGATAGAAGGCTCGAGTGAAGGTGAAGATTCAACGTGGGAAGATGTCATCGCCCTTTAAACCCAATTTCCTACTTTCAAGGTTGAGAAGAAGCATGTACCTCAAGATGTGAGTATTGATAAGGAACAGATGGCTGAGTCCAATAGTGTGGAGCAGCCCAATAGGTCCAAACCATTTTTGTTCTATCGAAGGAAAACGAAGTCACGTGTCAATGAATAATTTTGTTAGGCATGGAAGTTAGTTAGAATAAGATCTATATATGTCAGGACGATTGTATTGTGAGGTCATCAGGAGATTTTATCAATTTTGTATTCAGCTTAATTGCAGCTTGGGCAGGAAGACTCCTTGCGAGCTTCTCTAATTGAATTCATTGATTGTCCTTTATCCACCTACTTGTTCATCTTGTTCATCTTTGTTCTTATCAATTGGTTCTTAGAAACCAATCAAATAGGTGAATTTCCTGAAATTTAATTTTAATGCATGCATCAACTTTAAGTGTTTTATTAAAAATGAAAAATTACTACGTATAATATGACTCTTGTTAATACCTTTTACTTAACATATCCCATATTTATTAAAAAAACTGGAATACAAAATATCTTCTTCAACCCGACCCAAGTCATAAGCGGCAAACATCCGATTTTCTTTTTTGTCTAAAGTTGTGTGTTATATCTTCTTTCTTTTTATAAATTTCTAAGATGCCTTCGGAAAATCAGAAAAGGGCTATGCCAAATGTCGCCTTATGCCTTATCTCATCGACAACTAGGTAGGTTAACAACTAGATAGGTTAGTATTTATAATTATGATGTTTAATTAAATTTATATGGTTTTATTTATTTATTTATTCATTTTTTGAACAACAGGGTTAGTACCTGGGATTGAATCCAGGTGGTTATCCTGGTTAGAAACTCCTAGTTAGACATCTTATTAACCAAGTGGATTAGTCCCAACTTATTATATGGTTTTATACATCATTGGATCCCTTCAAATAAATACGGAAATTTTATGCTATTTATCATACATATAGTCGATCTAAGTTATACGTTATATTAAATATATCGAAGTTTAAAAAAAAATATTAATGAAACGAATTACACCCTATAGTCTCATAACTACAAGAATCGACATATTGGTAGACAACCAAAGTCACCGAGGAAAGCCTGACTTCCTTTAGGATATATAGGTCTTGGTTCCATTTGTCTCCAAGACAGATCACGTAGTCGCTGGAAAGTCCAACTCAAAAATGTCGTCAAGGGAAGTTTCGTTGCAATAGATCTTGACTAGTGTAAAATCATGTAATATTTCTGTACTTTTTATTTTTCTCTAGCTTCTCTTTAGCTTTTCAATAAACATTAGATGTAAATAAAAAGATATCCATCTAGAAAAACTTTGTCTAGATAAGCAGTCATCGAGTCACCGGCACAGAGACATCCTAAACGACATTGTTTGCTTAATTTTCAATGGAAAGAAATCAAAAACAAAATTTATATATTAAAAATTAACTAAATATTATTTTAGAAATTTATTGTCACAAAAATCTAACGAGATAATTTTTTTCTTGTATAAATCTTCCCAGGTCAACAAAAATGAAAGAAAAAATTTCGTCCTCTATGTCAACAAAAACTTGTTATATAAAATGTTAATCATTCATGTAAAACCCAAAACCAAACAATGCTACCGAAAACATGGGAATCATAATCGGAAAGTATGAACCAAATTTTGAATCGTATGTAAAGAACATATTGACAAAGACATGCCCAAAATGTTTTAGCTTTCATCAACAAAAAGTGGATAATATTGTAGTCATCTTTTTCAATCATGTGTTACAATTTACAACAAACTTGACATTTTATATTAAGTAATTGAAGTAAATTTAAAGTTATATCATATAGGATTTACATTCTATCGTCACACATGCTTGGAGAACAATAAGCCAACAACTCATCGTCTTGTTCAAAGATGGCCATCACTTCTTCTTCCAAATTGGCCCATACTTCAATTCCATTCCCTTCTTTAGTATCCATCATCATGATTCCATTCTTGAATGGTGTATTTGTTACGCTAATCCACCTTGGCTTTCCCCACCCAAAATCAATCTCATACAGTGGGAATCCACACCAACTACTAAACGTAAACACTTCAGTTCCATCTCTTCCCAACATTTCCCCAATCTTTTTAGAGTAATTCAAGATTGCAAATATCCCATCTTTGGAATCTTGAACTTGTTTCATGTAAACATCACAGAATTCTTTAAACCCATGTCTCAGTTGACCCGCCAAGCCCCGTAACTCAATCTCACCGCCGTCATCAAAGCCTTTCTCCGCCAAAAACGACCCAACAAAGTTGCCAAAAGAGGTCTCTGGCAATGGTGGGTCGAGGCGTCCTCGCATGTTCACAAGCGTCATTGCCATTGATGATGTAATCTCAGGTTTCTTAACTGCGTTCATAGCACATTTCCAGGTGAGGGCTGTGACAGCTTGAACACGTGAAGAAGATGATGTTTGGGCCTTGAGTGATGATATGCTTGAAGCACTGAACACAAACCTCTTTCTAACGAGCTTTTCGTTTATTGGAATCTTGATTCCGGTGTTAAAGTTCAAGAAACCTATCCGTGGGAATAGAGATGAGATACTGAACTCGGGAACCAAAACTGGGTTATCGCTCAATGAAAAGTTTGCCCATTCACGAATAAAAGAAAAGAAATTAGATGCATCGCCGATCTTATGCGAAGAACATGCACCAATGGCAATTCCACCACATTTGAAGTAGCTCACCTGGACTAGCAACGGAATGGTATGATCAGGATTCTCGGATTCCTCATTTAAAGGAACAAACTGTTTCATCAAGTTCAAATCGTACTGTTGAAGTACATAAGATAGGGAACAATCAACAGTGGCTTCGGAATACGGTATTCCGGCGTCATTGCAATCCACAAAAACATCTCCATTTACACGTCCAGCATATGGATAAAACGACGACAAAACTCTAGATAAAGAGGTTTTGAGTCGAGGGGCTAAGTTCGAGTTTGGCTTTGGATCGTAGAAGAAGATTATCGGAGGATAAACGGAAGGCGATAACTGGTCGAAAAGTGATAAATCGTGGGTTTTCAGGTGGTCGTGAGTGGAGGATGAAGGTTTAATGATGTGGGTTGCTGTTATCTCGACATTGAACGCCATCGTTTTTGGTAGATATACAAGTTATTATCATTCTACAATTGAGAATTGGTTCGATTTATGTGGATTCAAGGCGATGAATCTTATGGCGTTATGTGTTATTAGAGGACAAAGACTTCGTTACTTTTGATAAAAGCCGATTGGCCGGAAGGCATAGAGAATAATAAGATCGTCATCATATGTCAATAGTCCCTTCGAGCATAAAAGATACTACAAAACAAAAATAAGGGGTTTTGCTAGAAACACGAGAGCATTTAAGCCTGGCAATTTTATAGTATGAATTTAAAGGAAATCTCTCATTTTATTTTAATTTACAAATAAATTAAAATTTATTTATAAAAACTAATGAATTACTAGAAAAAAATGACGAATTTGGCAATTTTCCCCTGTATACTTGTTTAATATTTTAATCTAATTTATGAATAAGTCCTAAAATAAAATTGTTTACAAAAAAAAAACAATAATTACCGGTAAGAATGATGATTTAATTATTTTCTCTTTTGAACATACATTTTATCGGTTTTAATGCCGATCTGGACGACCACAACAAAAAACATAACCTTTAACGACGACAAAAAACTTCCCAATTGATGCCTCATGTCGTCGCTAAAGGGTCGTCGCTACTACTTCGTAGCTAATACTCATTTGTCATCCCAATTAACGTCGTCTCTAATACACGTTGTTGCTAAATGTCTATGTCGCCGCTATTGGTGTCGTCTCTATTGATATTCCGACCACCGGTCAGAGTTTTTCCGGCAAGGCTTCCCAGAGTCATGAGTGGTCGCAATTGGTCAATGTCGTCTCTAAATATGTTGCTGCTAATGCTTTATTATAAAAACAATTTATTTATAATATTAGTTATATATATATATATATATATAT